GACAATACTTTTTGGTCGGGTACGCCACCCCTAGGAACCCGAGGTACGACACAAACGCATTTTCGTTCGACGACGATGGATTAGCACCATCACCTTCTCCCTCGTCGTCGTCCTGTTGTCCTCCGCCGCCATAGAGTGGGTAGTACAAGCTTGCCAAAGACTCTGGCGCACCAGTGGCGGCCATCGCCTCCAAGTACACGCCCAAACCGCCGTCATTGTCGTCGCCATCGTCATCCAAGATCCCGGCAGCTATGGCGTCTCCTTCCAAATCCATTGCATTGATGTCATTTGGGACGGGGGTTGTTGCATCGCTTGCCAGATGATCGGCCGGAACTGCAAGGTTTTCGTCAAAGTCCTTTCTGATGCAATGGTCCATGATCCAGCACACGAGCTGGTCTATATTGCGAAGCGCGGACTCCGTAAACGTCTGGTCCAAGATGCGCATGCGCTCGTCCGCACTGATGAATTGGGCGTACCCGGTCAACTTGTGATAATCGCGCGCATTCACCTCCAATACGGGACAGCTGTTGTTGTTGTTGTTGCCAGCACCGTAATTGTCAATCATCTCGCTGAGGGCCAAGGATGCAGGTGTCTTGGGCCCATGCATCAACACCATGTAGACGAGCTCGGCCATGTACTTGCTGTATTGGACACATGTCAGGTACGTCTGGACCGCGCGGAAATACGTGGACAGACTGTGGTTGTTTGCCACACCTTTAAAAAGACGCACCACCTCGAGCCCTGCGAGATTGACCTGGTTGATATTGGCGCTGAGAAGGGTCATGGCACCCACCAAGAGCTGGGCAATCTTTGCCACCATGTGCGCTTCTTGCATGGCTTTGACCTGCGAGTCCACCCGGTTGCGGTCCACCTCCTGGAGAATTTTCTTTACCAACGGGTGGTGCTGCTGGTTAGGCACAGTGGTGGTGCGCAGGTTCTGGACGGTGTTGTTTGCGGAGGGAGAGGGCGACGCTGAAGAGGAGGAGGAGCCAGAGCCAGAAGGTGATGGGGTGTCACGGCCTCTGCCACGCGCGAGATCTTCCAAAAACCCG